CCTTGTCATGTACTGCGAGGGATAACCTCACATCATTGTACCCTTTCCACCTCCTGTGTGCCACCGTGACAACCCCCTTTTCTATAAAAGGAGGCCCGAGGCGACCAGGAGGAGGATTCGGCTTTTTGGAACTCCTCACGCCCTATAGCTAGCTCAAGAACACAAATATATAATCCACCAAAGCAGGAGTAGGGTTTTACGCATCCTCGCGGCCCGAACCTGGATAAACGAACCGTGTGCTATCTGTTTGATCCGCTCTTCTCACGACCCCGCGCCCCGCAACCATAGTAGGGATTCTTGTGATCCCATAGGTGTCGTTCCCACCGACACTTTTATTGTTGACATTAATTTAAACTTGAATTTTGAAGCGGTTTCGAATTAACCCAAGATTAACTACAGTGACAGAGGTGACGTGGCACCATTAACGTGAGATTACTGTAGCATGATTATTCGGGCATTACAAGAGGCTTACTAGGGACACAGTGTTTTGTCTATATATCCACACATGTATCAAGTTTTCGGTTAACACAATTCTAGCATGGATAATAAACATTTATCATGATATAAGGAAATATAAAATAACAATTTTATTATTGCTTCTAGGGCATATTTTTTTTAAAAGAAGCAAAGAAGAAATATAAAACACAAATTATACTGGACTAGTTGAAAAAAATAGAAAGAAAGAAGAACCAAAAGGGGAGGATTACTTGGAAGAAAGTAGCAAATCACCCATTGTACTGACTTCGGACCGCAGTACCGCTGATTGTTGTTGCTAGAGCAGATCTAGAAGAGAAGGAGAGACATATGCAAAGGGATCTCTACTATTAATCGTTCACTACCGCCTCCCACCGATTGTCGAGACACATTGTAGATTAGAAGTGGTACGCACTGCGAAACAACTGGCAAGGAAGGAGAAGCAAAGAGGCCCACATTAATGAATGTGTTTGGGGTACTTGGTGACTGTATGTTGTTTTGTACTAACCGGCAACACCAATGTTGTGTCACACACCACCAAGTTCACCGTGCTTGGGGTTATTCATAGGCTGGGGGGCGGTGTTCCCCCACATTGGAATTACGCGTAGCTTAGCCGTGGAGCTCCCTCCGGCAGCTAGATGTCCCCCGTGGGCATTGATCATGACTGAGACAGACCGTGCGCCATGGTAGGGTTATTAACATCGGGATAAATGAACATGTCAGAATGTTGGGCTCTGTATGATGAAATCTGGTTTGTGTGAGAAAAATTTGAAGACTCGGTACTACGGAAGATTCCAAGAGATGGACATGACTGGGTGGCATGCGAGCGCCCTTCCAATCTTCCGGTGCACACGCTTAAAAGGTAAAGGATCCATGCAAGCCAAAACCACGCCAAAAATGGAAAGCTAGCTGCAAACCGCCGGGGTGCATGTGCATGTCCTTGCCTCGCCGCGTCCCTCGTCTGACACCCAACGCGAAA